TCAACATACACCCACGAATAGTCACGTTCAAATCCATGGTATGGGGTCCTTATTAAGAAAGTGCTTTGTATAGGACAGTTCTAATTATCCTCACTAGTGTTTAAAGGTTTCCAAGGTGCCCCATTATAGGGACCTAGTATCTCTGTCGTCGTCACCTGACAAACTAATGTGATTCCTCTTGGAAGCACATGAACTCTTCAAGCCTTCACGGAATTCCTTGGATAAGCTTCAAGGAATGGAGACTCCACAAGGCTCAAGGTGACCTAAGCTAGCGTGTAGCCAAGTCCAAAGAAGAATAGGATTCTAACTCTACAAGGAGAAGCACTCAAGGAGGGTAGAGTAAGAATCAAGATGACTTCGGAGGAGATGAAATTCAAAAAAGAATATCTCATCAATATATGATCAAAAGTGCCACAAACTCTCGGCCAAAAGTAAACAGAAACTACATCCTAAAACTTGAGCATACCTGAAGCTGAGAAAATATACTTTCCCCAGGAGTGATGGATGAACGAATTTGGAATAAGAAGAAAGGCAAGCAAGGGGGAATAGCGATAAGTGGTTCTCTTATAAGGGGAATCACCCGCAGCCATTAAAGCAGCAGCATCAGAAAAGACAAGGTAATCAACATCAGTGTATCTAACCTCCATATGAGCATCTTGCCACTCTCCATATACAATTAAAATAACACGAAAAATGGCAGAGAGTAGAAGCAGTGAACGAATATCTACGAATGTCATTGCTGAGAGGTAACAAAACAAACATCAAAAACGGAACTAGTCGGCTTCAAAACCACAAAAGCCCTAAATTTGTCAAATCACGTTAATTTTAATAGGAGAGAGGTGAAGAATTCAGAATTTAGGGTTTTTGGCTATGAAGCAAGACTTTCTTCTATTATGGAAAGAAACAAGATAAAATTCTTACAATATTTTCTACAAATTTTTATCATGGAAAAAATTTCTATGATCATTAAAATTACAGCAAAATTTGCAAAAAAACAAATTATGGATTATTTTTTATAAAAAATTTGTAAGAAGTTTCTGTAAATTATTTTTCGCAAATAAATTTGCCAAATTTAGCTAGTCCTGTAAAAAGAGATAGATCAGAAACATTGAAACTAGAACTAACTCCATACTCAGAAGGGAGATCTAAGACATAGGCATTATTATTGATTTTCGTAAGGATTTGGAAAGGGCCATCCCCTCTAGGACAAAGTTTTGACTTTCTTTGGGAAGGAAACCTATCCTTCCTAAGGTGTAGCCAAACCCAGTCACCTTCCTTGAAGATAACTTCTTTCCTACCCTTATTATTATATTTTTGGTATTTTTCTGTTTGGGATTGAATATGATCTCTAACCCTCTCATGTAACTTCTTGACAAACTCAGCCCTAGATGTGCCTTCTTTATGAATAAAGGAA